TGGTATAATTTTTTTGGTCGAATTTTGTTTACTATATTGTATAGTAAATCAAAAAGCACGGAAGCTCTTTGTATGGTTAATGCAATTTACTCAGTAAATGAAGCTTACTAAGTACGTAGTGGAAACGTACTATAACAGATGGATTTTATTTTCTACAGGACAATGATCCTAAACATGTCGCAGAAATTGTGTCTTTGGTTGCTTTATAACGCCACTAAACTGCTAAATACGCCTCCACAGTCACCGGATTTAAATCCAATTCAACATTTATGGGTACTTATGAAACGAAAAATTCGTAAACATTCAATTTCGTCTAAACAGCATATAAAAGACAGAATATGAAAATAATGGGGCGATTCAGTAGACCAGTCAATTGATTGTAGCTTCGAAGAAGCGTTGCAGTTACCTAAGTAGTTACTAAATTGCATAAAAAATCAGGAATTTACACTAAAACGTTGTCTTATACTAAGTGCTTTTAGACTTTTGACCGCTTGTCTTGCTTTGACAATAAAAGCACCCTTACCTTGGCTGTTTTTTGAACATGTACAAAGAAACTTTGCAAACATATTGTGCATTAAATGTTAAAAAAAACAATGAAGCATGTTTCTAATAAATTGAGTTATTTGGTAAATATTTTCAAACAAAGTTTTTCTTACTGCCTGCCTGTAGACTTATGACTCCGACTGTTCATTGGACCAGAATGTAGCCCAGATCAATTGCTGGTTCACCTCATTGTTATTGTTTTGCATGTAAATTTAAACAATGCGCTTCAAGATAATGGAACTAACATGTTCCTCCCAAGAGTTTAGCCCCAAGAAAGTATCTTGTATTATTTCGATATTTTTAAAGTTTCCAGTTTTGTGTCTTAACCATAAATTGACTAATCCAATTTTTGATTTAAACAATAAAACATTCACTTACGGCTATAAAGGCAAGTAATTATTAAAACCAGCTATTATTTAAGCTCAAGTGACTTTAAGCTTTGGTCGCAAGGACGCCACTCCAACCGAACCTTACCTAACTTAACTATTAATAATTATATACAGTTACCAGCAAAGAATAAAAGACTAAGTAAATACATTTATTTTCAATACTTCAAGTGCTTATTTATTTAATTACAATCCTTTGACGATGTAAAAGTAATAAAAACTACACAATATATTTATGTGAAAAAAACAGTTTGGAACTCACATCTCTGGTTTTATATTTGAGAAAAGAAAGAAATAATTAAAAAAAAAATTTTAATTAAAATAATTTGAAAATAATTGTATCAAATTTTTATATTTTGAAACCACCGACAAAATTGAAAAAGCGTAACTTAAAATTAAATATATGTATATGAATTGTGAAATTAAAAAAATAAATTTAAAAAGTTGAATTTATTCTTAGTGTCATTTAGATAAAGAGAAATTTTCTCCATGAACTTAAGATGACTCGAATACCGTGTTCGCATTATAATACATAAATGCCTCATTCACTTGGTAAGCGGGCCAACTTAGTTCTGATAACAATTTCCTCAAAATCGTTATTAAAACAGCAAATAACGTTAGTCACTAAAAATTTTATAAAAATAGATTGAAACATTTTTTGTTAAATTGAGAGTCATTAAGTGAGAGCTTGGTGAATACTTATGATCTAATATGTTGACTACAAAGTTTTATTCCGTCATATAGATTATACACATAACTTATTTTGATTGACTTCCAAAGTATTTTATTCAGTTAAAAACTATTTATTGTAAAGGGTTTGCATTCATTTTAGTGTAAATCAATCAGTGCTATTGCAAATAACATGTTTCCTAATAGAACTGAAAATTTGGCCAGCCAATTCTTTATACATAAGCAAAACGCATATTGAAATTTGTAGCGCTTAACTGGAAACTAATTTGGCAATCAATTTCCTAGGTAAAAGCGAAAACAATTCTATTTTTAACTTTTCGTATCGCACGTCCATAATTTGATAAGATTAAAATGCATTTTAAAGACATAAGTGTGTGACAAGAAATTTAGTCTAGCTGAAAGTCGGCCACTAAGAGTTTGTATCAATTAATGTGCGTGAAGATAGCGTCGACGATAAGTCCAAAATGGAATTGGAACAGTTTACGCCGCGTGAAAAATGCAGTAAACTTTAATTAAGGAAAAATTTAATATATTATTAAAATTAAAATGGCAATAAGCATTATTAAATAGAAAATTGAATTAATTTACGATCTCCATCCAACTGTTATGTATATATGATGTAATTTGCATGAATAATGAAAAATAAAAATCAGCCCCAAAAGATGGAGTCACTAATTTATTGACAACTTTTAAACTAGAGATACCATTTTATTTTTTCAAAATCAGCTGTAAGTAAATCGCTGCTCGGCTGCGGCTGCGGTAGGTGTTGTTACGACTACCACGGTAGCTGATATTGTTGCAGCTGCGGATCGTGTACTAATTATTAAATTAACGATATTCTTAACAATCACATCGATATGCATACATTTGCTTATTAATTTTAAGTAAATATTGGCCATATCTTAATCTATACTCTTGGTCTATTTTAGAAGAGCCTTTTCGCTAGCGGTTTAATAGAAACGATCTGCTGTGTTCTTTGTAGTATTGCTAATTCAAAGTAATAATATCCAAAATTTAACAACAAAACTCCAACTGTTGTGCATAAATAAGTAAGCGCACATTTGAATGAATTTCATTTAATCTGTGAATGTTCTATTTTTTTAAATAATTGTAATAATTATAGTATTATATTCAAAGTTTATTATATACCAACATTTTTCTGACTTCTGTAAATCAAGTATCTTTTTTAGTAAGATAAAAATTTTTTCTTTTAAAAGAAAATTAATTTCTGAACATTGGCACTCGATTACTTTTAAGTTAATCGACCAAGTTATAGATATGAATACATGAAATGAAAGCTTGATATCCTCTTTCAATTAAACTAATTTATAGAAAATGATATCTCTGCTTTTAAAGTTATAATTAATTTTGTAATGTAACCTCGTTTTTACAAAATTTTTCTTTCCATTTCTAAAGAAAATTTGCTTTATACTATATAAAAACTAAGTATATTTAAAAAACAAACATATTTTTTACTGTTATCTGTCTTTTATTTCATAATTATTGATTGAATAATAATATTTTAATTAATTTAAAATTGAAATAACATCGTAATAAAAATTCGACGCTAACTACATGACCTTAAATTTCCCAAATTTATCATCAATGTAATTTCAATTGTTTTGCATCCACAAGTTAGCGTATAATTAAATTAATTTTATTTAATTTGTTAATCGAACAATATATATAATATTATACATTAATCGTCTTAAAAAAAATTCTAATTTTTTATTGAAATAATACAGTACAGTAATACAGTAATAAGATTATTGATAACATTTTAATAATAGTAGTAACTAATAGTAATAACTATTTTGATAACATTTTAATAACATTTATCATCAATGCAACTCTAACTGTTGTGCATGCCCAAGTTAGTGCACATTTAATTATATACAATTTGTTAATCCAACAAGATATAAAATATCGTACATCAATCCTTTTAGAAAAAATTCTAGTTTCTTAGTTCGATAATATCTTTGATGCAGCAAGCTTAATAAAAATTGGACGTTATCTTTTTTTTTGAAATTCTATAGACTTACCAATAACTCTTCAACTGTACATTGTGTTTTTCAGTGCCATTTTCATTTTTCAGCGAATTTAATTCAAGATGGTATGCCATCTATTAACCAACTTTGTACAAAATTTTTGAATAATTAATATAATTAAACTAATTTCGATTTTTTTTTCAAATAATTGTGCTTATTAGAGTATTGTAATCAAAGCTTCAATATATATTAACTGTTTTTTGACTTCTGGTAGATGCTTTTTATAAGAAAAATGTCTTTTTTAAAAGAAAATTAGTTTCTGAACTTTGACACTCAATAACTTTTAAGTTAATTGACATCTATAAATATGAATGAAATGAAAGCTTGAAGTGTCCTCTTTCGATTAAGCTGATTTGTAGGAAAATGGTACCTCTGCTTTAAAAGATATAATTAATTTTGTAATGTGACCTATTTTCACAAAATTTTATTTTCCTTATTTTGAAGAAAATTTTTTCCATATTATTTAAAAACCGATCATATTTAGAAAAATAAACATATTTGTTATTGTTATATATAATTTTAAGTGAAGTAATAAAGTTTTAACTAAATACTTTTTGAAAATGATATCTCTACTTTCATCGCAGCATTACTCCTAACTTAATTAGACAACTTATACATAACTTTATATGATATGAAAGGCAATTATATCCTCTTTCAAAAGAGATACCGTAAAAGGTATCTCTAGTTTATAAGTTATTAATAAATTAGTGACTCCATCTTTTGGGGCTGATTTTCATTTTTCATTATTCATACAAATTACATCATTTATACATAAAAGTTGGATGGAGATAGTAAATTAATTCAATTTCCTACTTAATAATGTTTATTGACACATTAATTTTAATAAAATGTTAAATTTTTCCTTAATTAAAGTATACTGCATTTATCATGCGACTGTTTCATTTCCATTTTGGACTTATCGTCGACGCTATCTTCTAAGCGTACGATTTTTCTGATTTTTACTTTGTTTGAAAGCTTGTTTTATTGTCTTTGAGGTGAATATTCGTGCATGTTTCCGCGGTCTTTGATTGGTTTTTAATAATTTTTTAAGTAAAAAGTGCAGTTTTTTCAAAAAATTTTATTGTTTTTATTTTTTGAATATCTGAGCTATTACGCAACTTACAATTATAAGGTATATACCAAATGAAACATTATTGAATTTACTATCTAAATCATATATCTTACTTGGTGAAAAAAGCTTGAATTTGGCCAATTTTGACAAATTAATGAACTCAGAAAAATTTCGTGTTAAAATTCCGGCTTGGTCCTCTCAGCGCCGTTGCTATCTAGGTGCAGGTGAGTTGGTTAGGTATAAAAACAAAAATTTTGTATTTAACAACCCTGTTTATTTGCAAATGATATGTGATTTGAGTAGTCTCTCTTTAGTTAATTTTTAGAAACGATAAAATAATAGAAACCATGCGCTAAAAACATTATATTGCAGTTTTTATTTTATTATTGTGTAATGTAGTTGGTGACAGCATCTTTTTTGTCATTGGCTACAGTAAACAGTCACTGTGTTGTTTCTGATAACAAACTCAGATGGCTTGTGGTAAAAGCTTTTTGAAAAATTCGCTAATTGGAATTCAATAAATGGTAACCGGTGGAGTATTGTAAGTTAAAAACATTGGAAAATTAAAAATATTAAAATGATCAGTAATTTTGAATATATTTCCCATATTGAAATATCTTACAATTATTTTAAAATACATTTTCGTAACAGTAAAGAATCTTGAGATTATTGGAATGATCAAAACTGGAAAAAATTAATACTGTAAAACAGGTAAAAGCTCGTTGAAATAGGAAAGATTATCAGAAAACTTTTATTCCATTTGAACTTATGATATGGTCTTATAATTTCCCATATATGTATATATGTATTTCAATAAGTTATCTCTTGTTATACCTTCTGAATAAATTCTCTTGTAACAATCTAATTTCAGATTTAAAACAACATTGTTGGCATTTCGACAAGACTTATCTTAATATCGTATCTTTGTTAAATCACCATGAAATGCTTAGAGCAAGAACCAAGCGACAAAACAGCTGAGACATTATTATTGTGCAGTGATAAACCGGATGCTGTTGTTACCAAAAATGCTAGTTTCAATAATTCAAGGACGATAGATATGGAAAAAGCGGTATTTAAGGTAGTATAGTCCGTTTCGTTAAAAGCTAGTGAAAAACAACAAATTTCATACCAACAAATTACTTTAATTTGGTTTTACAATGTAATATGTTGTTGCATCATATAGTGAATTTAAATTCACAAGTTTAAAAAGTGCGGACTTAATTTAATAATTAATAATTAATAATTTTTATACCCTTGGGTTATTAAATAGGTTATTACACAAAGCCTGCAAATCTATAAACCTGTAGAAATAATGCTCTCATTTAATGGTGGGAAAGATTGTACAGTAGTTCTGCACATATTGGCCAAGTACTTTCAGCAGGAATGTTTGAAAAATTTTAAAATACCAGCACTATACATACAAGACTTAAACTCCTTTGAAGAAGTTGACGATTTTGTTGAGTCAAGCAAAACTTTATATAATATTGAGTTAATAAAACGAACAGGCAGAATTAAAGAAGTTCTTTTTGATATAACTAATGAAATGCCGCATATTAAAGCTATATTCATGGGCTGCAGAAGAACAGATCCATTTTGTGGAGAAATAAAAGTTATGCAAGTAAGTTGTTTATGTTACTTTAAATGAAACAAATAATTTATTAACACGACTTATGTGTATAGCCATGTGATTTCAATTGGCCAGCTATAATGCGTATAAATCCAATAATTGATTGGAAATGCGTCGATGTGTGGAACTACTTAAAATCAAATTATGTGCCCTATTGTTCATTATATGACCTTGGCTATACATCAATAGGCAATAAAAACAACACCATTCCCAACCCCCATCTAAAGATATACGGTGCTTCTAGTATGAGGAAAAAATATAGGCCAGCTTATGAATTAGAAGATGATGAATACGATTCGTTGGAACGTGCTGGACGCTTTGGTTTCTCTAAAACATGTTAGTGAAAATATATGAATTAACAAAGAGAACCTTTAATGTTAAAACTTTACAATAATTTTAAATATTTATTAAAAATGCAATACCAAAACACACATGTAAAATAAAAACTGCAATTGGTGCTGGAAAAGTTATATTTCATATACACGAAACATAAACTGTACTTTAAAATTTGGCTAGACATTGTCATATTACAAGGCAAAACTATATCGTTAGTGCGCCAATTTACTTTAAAACAAATAAAGCTTTGAGTTTATCGCTAGTGTCTTCACTACTCAAATCAAAGTCGACTGTAGAGTGCAAGAAACAAAGATTCTAGAGTGTATAGCGATTGTGTCCAATCAATTTCAAAATATATTTGGCACACAAATGTCTTTCATATTACAAAAAAAAATATTATCGGTCAGTTTGTTTTTATTTTATGGTGTCATCAGACTGTAGTGCAGTGTTATTTTTCTTTATTACATAAAAAGAAAGTGTGCCAAATTACATTTATGATGTAATGACGTCTCTTTTAGGAATGTTAAAAGTACACACATATTATTTAACATGAAAGAGTACGTATGAATATAACAGGGGTAGCGAATCTTGTAGCGGGAAGACCCCCTAGTCTTCAAATTTTTGCAATCGAAAAATATGGAAATAATTTATATTTATTGTATTCAAATGTTGTTTATTGTTGTAATTGTTACAGCTTGCTGGGATCTGTAAAGCAGATAACATGTAAGGTTTACAAGACGAATACATGAGTGGTGATGCAGATGGATAGTGGTTGGGGAAGAAAGAGCACCACTCTTGAGGTGGAGGTGGTGCCTTCATGTTTTACAGTTGGGGAAAGATTTTGGTTATTGCCATCGTTGAATGTTAGAAACACAGAACTTGGATTCGTTGGAGTAAAGCAGATTATTCCAAAACTCCTCCAGTATTTCTACATATTTATGTATTTGCAAAAGCAAGCAGCTTCTTTCGATTAATTAGAGATATGTAAGGCTTGCAGTGTGATCTTCCAAACGAACGTCCAATTTTCCTGTTCGACTTCCCTTCCACCTAAAATTTTATGATAATTTCTCTTTCTCAGACGCTTACTTCTTTCCGATAAGACACCATTGCCAGTCTGTAGTAAGTATTTTAAGCAGAATACAATTTTTTGCAGTTTTATGATTAATTACCACAAACACAATCATAGCAATTCTGAATACTCCCAAGGAACAAGTCTCCCTGTTCCCACGCTATTCCCAAAAGTACAACTCCCTTATTCTGAATTGCTTGGGAGACAGCTGTTTTGGGAACAACAAAAGATTCAAATTTAATTTGTTGAATTTTGGCAACCATGGCACTATTCAATGGCGAAAAGTGCGAAAATGAGCAAAACAAAGAAAAGAATCATATGTTGATTTAAATGTAAAAATCGCACTATTTGTCTGCTGCACAAATTATCAGAAATAAATATAATGAATAATAATAGAACAATATTAATTTATTTATTTATTTTATTATTTAAATATGTATATAATTTATTGCTTTCTTATATACAATGAAACAAATTAAAATATATTATTTATTAATTGAAATTCTTAATGTTTTAACTCAAATTTGAGCTCCTCTCCAAAACTTTTATTTATTTTTATAATTAGGATGGAAATGTTCTTAAATTAATAAACTAATAATAGTTTATGATTGTGCAGATGTTACAACAAAAAAGAAGTAATGCTTTGCCTGCGCATAATTGCAAAAATTTGTTTTAACTTATTCGAGGAATACCATTCATTTCAGAAATGGAGTTTCTTTCATTATCTATTGTTTTAAATAACAATATTCTTTAATTTGGAAAAAGCCCTAGTGCATAAAATAAATAAATAAAAATTTAAATATATTAAATTTGTTATAATACCTTTATTAAAATAATTATTTTAATAAGATATATTAAATAAAAGTTTAAATATATTAAATTTATTAAAATAATTTTATTAAAATATATTCGAAAAACTTATTAATCCGTATGGATAAAATAAACAAATAAAAATTACAAATATTACATTTATTATAATAATTTTATTAAAATATATTCAAAAATCTCATCATTATAAGTTACTTATATATTAAATGAAATGCTTTTTAATACGTTTTTAACTTGTCTCCCAAACAATTTGCTTTTTTTTTTAGTTTGTTTTTTTTATAATCCATTTGTTTTATTACAATCTGTCAGGGATGAATGACAATAAGTAATATATATTAACATGAATAGAAAAATAGTTATTACGATCTAAAAAAAGCCACGTATGGACTATGTCCAGTGACATATCTATATATTTTTTTTTGTTTTATTTAAACATACATTTATTTATTGCATCTTCTCTTACAATGAGACTAACAATAAGTTTTAAAATCTTATAACTAATTACATAATATTACAAATTTGTATAAAATAAAATAAAATAAGTAAACCTTATATCACGAACCTCACTTAGACTAATGGGTTAAGTTTCATTGGAGTGAATGTTAGGTGGTTTCTTAAAAAAGTGGTTCAACTTTATCAGATTAGTTAAAAGAAAGGTGCGGTTATTACTTCAAGCTGTTGAATATTAATTAATGGCTGGACGGTCAGCTCTTTTTAAGCGGGAAGTAATGGATAAAAGTGCGAGATTTCTTGCTAAGGGATTAACATGCTCTGTCAGCCTTTTATTGTATTTTTTTCTTATATTGTCAAATTCAGCTTTAACTAGGGGAATTTGTAGATCTCTGTGTATACTTTTATTCCTAATATACCAATGGGACATCAGTGATTATTCTTAGTATGTTTGACTGAGCTCTTTGTACAATTTCAATATTTAAAGCGCTAGCATTACCAAATAGCTGGATACCATAAGTTCATATTGGTTTTATGATGCTATTATGCAAGACTACTTTATACTCTAGGCACAGGGAAGATCTGTTATTAATTAGGCAATGCAACTTAGAAGCTTGGAGCTTCATCTGAATTTTTTTGGCTTCAATATGTTTGTACCAAGTTAGTCGTCTGTCGAGGCGAATACCTAAGTACGTTATATTATCTGCTTGTGGTATAGGAATGTTATTTAGTAAAATTGTTGAAGCTGTGCTCCGATTTAAGGTAAAAATGACGCCATTTTGACAACCATTTCTCCACCCGAAATAAGTCAGATTGAAGTTGGTTTGAAGCTAACACAACCTTTTTGTTTCGCCATAAAATTGCCGTATCATCAGCAAACGTTGTGGTGACGACTGAGCTACTTATTGGGATATCAGATGTGTACAATATATACAAGATAAGGCCAAGAACACTTCCTTGTGGAACACCAGCTTCTATTGGGAAATTATTAGAAGTATATGATTTACATTTAACTTTAAAGCTTCTGTTATGCAAATATAATTCTAAAACTGAGTGGACATTTGCAGGTAATGAACAGCGTATCTTATATATGAGTCCATTATGCCATACTTTATCAAATGCATGTTTAACATCGAGGAATACCGCGGAACAATATTCCCTGAGTTCAAATGCGTGTCTTATTTCATTCGTTATACGATTCACTTGCTCAATAGTTCCATGTTTTTCCCTAAAACCAAACTGGTGGGAGGGTATTAAATTTTGAACGTCAAGGAACGGTTTCAGCTTTAAAAGCAGTGCTCTTTCAAAGAGCAAGGCAGTAAGCTTATTGGTCTGTATGAAGAGGTAAACGTGGGATCTTTACCTGATTTATGAATCATAATAATCATGGATGTTTTCCACTCTGTTGGGTAAAAGCCAAATTTAATAACGTCATTAAAAAGTTTTGTGATAAAACTAAATTCTTTATGTCACTATTTGTAAGTTCTTTATTGAATCTGTAAATTTTATTGTCTTTAGGGGTGGAGTTTTCTGCTGCTGAAATCAGAATTGAGTTTAAAACCGAGGTTGCGTCCTCAATATGAGACTTACACTTTATCTTGTAATTTGTGTGTATGTGTGAATTAATGTACTTTTTATATTTGAGCCAGTTTGTTCTAGGACTTGTAAGGCTATAGGAACAGTCATATAACTAAGGACCATCAAGTAAGCAAAATGTAATTGGAGAATAGTCAGAAGACAAATCGCAGTTTGTGTATGTTGAGATAAAATTTTTGGTTATGCCTTTGGTCACGGCGAAGTCTATTAGGTCTGGTATTTTATTGTTATCAGCAGGCCATTATGTTGGCTGCCCAGGAGAGATTACGTCTAGTGCATTTTTTTTACTTTAAATAGAATTGTAGAGCTGTTTTCCTTTTGGATTACAGAGTCGTGAACTCCAATACGTGTGCTTGGCGTTGTAGTCTCCCGCCGCAAGAAATCTTTCACCTAGAGTTAAGAAGTAATCCGTAAATTGGGTCTCAGTAATGTTGAAGCGAGGAGGGCAGTAACTGCCGATAAAGTTAAATTTTTTCCTTTGTGCTTAAGGTATATTGATGTGACTTGCATATAATTATGAGCATATGTACAAAGAAAATTGTGTTTTAGACGCTTTCGTATCAAAATACCTGTACCACCATGTGCTTTGCCATCTGGGTGATTGGTTTTATAGAATAAATAACCAGGAATAGAAAAGAAATTTTTGTTAGTTAGATGTGTTTCTGAACAAAGCATTACATCTACACTTTCTCGGGACATGAAATTTGTGAGTTCAAGTTTATGTTGGCTTAAGCCGTTTTCATTCCATGTAAAACATTTTATAGTACTCATTAATTAGACAAAAACATTTGCATTAATTGGCTTTGCATTTTAACTATCTCGTTAAGAGTAGTTTGATTGACATGAACTGAGTTAAGCTTTGGGTGAGAGTGGAGATCATTATTTCCAAACTATTACTTTGAATTAGAGGGGCTTGTTGATTGTCAGATTTAACGACATTAGCATATGAAACACTTGGTGCAACAGATTTTAAAGTTATAATGGGGTAATTTAATGGGGTTGCTTCTTGTAGGATTTCGCAACGCTTCTTTCTGCAGAGCTAACCTGTACTTCAGTTCTTTATAAATAGGACAGCCTCCGTAGTTTGCAGTGTGATTTCCACTGCTGTTGCTACATTTTTGGGAGTTGGTATCCGTTAATGCTTTTTTATCGCTTTCGGTACTATGGTGAAGCTCGCCACAATCTACGCACACTGTACGAAGAGTACAATATGACTTAGTATGGCCATACTCTTAGCAGTTTGTGCATTGCACCGGACTATATCTATATATAATTAAAATAAAAGTGTGTGACCTACATATACATATCTAAAAGGTGTCTCGATGTTTTTTTTTTTAGCCTTGTAAAAGTGTTGGAAGGGGACATTGAAGTAAATATGATCGACACGATTGACAGTTTATATCTGACTGAATTTCGCTTACATTTCATTATTTAGGATTGCTTAAACTAAT